GGCTTAGAGGAGATAGAGTAGAGGTCTTCACTCTAAGGAAGAGCATGGCACATGAGTGGGCATGGCCACGTCCCTACAGAATCAAGCTGTAGAGAATGACATTTGAAATCCTCACCCCTCATAAAAGACAATGCCTCTTTTGGTATTTTTTCCCAATTGCTTACAAATGTCAGCGCCATCCCTAGCTTGTAGGCCTTACAGAGGGCTCAGGTGGTGGGTGATGCAGGCAAGGAGAGGCAGCCTGTCTTCCGGAGGGGCTCTCAGGACAGTCATGGGGCAGCACACTGGGTTTGGAGGGAGGCTGTCAAGTTTCCATTCCTTGTGGACTGGTGGGCAGAGGCCAGGGGGCTCCTGGGGAGGCCTGGCCATCGGCTCAGGATAAACCAAAGTCTTAAGGTGTGCTTACTGGGAAAGCCAGAGAGAAAGCCCGGTGTGTGGGGGTTGGGGTTGGGGTGGGGGGGGTAGTCTAGGGTAGGGTTAGGTTTAGGGTTAGGGTTAGGGTTAGGGTTAGGGTTAGGGTTAGGGTTAGGGTTAGGCTAGGGGGCCGGCGAGAGAGTCCATGGGGTGGGGGACCCAGGGGTTGTAGCTGGTGCGGAGGGAGTGCCTCCGACTGGCGGGGACCTTCCTAGGACAGAGCAGAAGGTGGCTCGCACTGTGTCCTCCTCCCATGGCACATTGCCAGGGTACCTGGGTCTATCGAGGCGTCTCTTGTGTGACAGTGTGTTTGGCAGAAGCTGTCCTCCACGCCCTGGCTGGCCCTGAGCCCTCCCAAAGAGGACCAGTCCCTCTTGAGGACGTGCCCCGGGGCACAGACTTTACCCATTGGGCCGCTAACCACGGGGTCAGCAGTTTGAAATCACCAGGAGGACAGTAAGCCTTGCCACTCCTGTGCAGCCTTAGAAACCCACAGGGACAATTGTGCAGCCCCCCACCCCCAGCCCCGCCCCCCACCAAGGGGTCACTTTGAGTCGGAATCAACTCCATGGCTCTATTTGGTTTGGGGTTTTTTTGGATGATGTGCCAAAAGCAAGTGAGCCAGACTGTGTCACACGATTATCCGAGCGGGAGTGGACATAGCTTGCCAGGCCTGTCATCCTGGTCTGTCTGCGTCCGGAAGCTCCAAGGAAGCCTGCCCCCCACGGGTGACCCTGATGGCGTTTAAAATCCAGTGGCATTGCTTCCAGCCCCACAGCAGCACGCAGACCACCGCAACGTGACCGGCTGGCCAGCAGCCGAGGGAGCAGTGGGAAGCCTGTGGGTTGCTTCTGCCAGTATCGATGAGTGTTTCCGTCCGTCCAGGGATTGCGCTGGGCCGGGCCGCAGCACAGCCAGCACCAAGACCCTGCTCCCAGGGGCTCCCCCCTCATGGTCAGCAAGGTAACCAACAGGCCGGGAAAGAACAACAAACTGAGTGCGAGTGACTGCCAAGGCCTGGCTAACACCCTTGTGGACGCAGCACAGTCTAGTCCAGTTCAAGTCAGGCTCTCCTGACTCTTGGAAGCTGATGGACAGGAAGAAGGATGATGAAGAGGAGACAGATGTGTGTTGTGGGGTGAGGGGGGCGGGGGGCACAGGCTGGTGGATGCAGAGGTCCAATGTTGCCCAGCCGAATGACTCCACCGTCTGTAGTCCACTGTGGGCTCCTGGGATAGCAGGAGATCGAAGAACCAGACAGAACAAGATGCGGCTCCAGCAGAAGTAAAGAGCCCAAGAGGACTCAAGTTGACTCTGCTCAGTCTCTCTCTCCTGCAAAAGGTTTAGGGTACCAGGGAGCTGTCATCAGGCTGCAGCTCAATTGATCCAGGTCGGGCTTCCTCCCTCCCCTTACCCAGAAGCATCTAGTTGACGTCACCCCTAACCATCACCGTTTTATTAACGGTGACCCAGCACAGGGGCTATGCCCAGGGGGCACGTGTCGGAGACCCTGACGAGTGAGTTGTCTGGGTCCTGGGGGAAGGGCCGGACGGGCAGGGAGCAAGCTCACAGAAGTCCTGGGGGATGTCAGGAAGAGTCGGGAAGCCTGGAGCTGGTGCAGAGAGAGCTGATGGTGAGGATGTTGGGGCCTGGGGTTGAGGAGGGGGCTTTGCTAACAAAAGGGCTTGCAGGTTTGGTAAGGAAGAGGGCCTGGCCTGCCCCTGGGTTCCGAGCCATTTGGCATGCCTGAAGCTATGTGGGGGAGGGCAGGAGGAGTAATAATGGGAGTGGGGCACTGGGCAGTGCCCAGGAGCTTAGGGCAGTTGGCTGTTACTGCAGGCTGTCCACTCCTTCTGAAATGGTAGGTGCCTAGTTGGCCTGGACCCAATGCTGTCAGATAAATTCTGATGCACAATGACCCTATAGGACAGAGTAGACCTGTCCCATGGGGTGTCCAAGGCTGTGAATCTTTACAAGAGTACACAGTTATTCCCGTGGAGTAACTGGTGGGTTTGAACCACCGACCTTGTGGTTGGCAGGCCAACTCTTAACGCACTGCACCATCAAGGCTTCTTAGTTGGCCCTAGTGAAGGGCTGAATTTCAGCTACTGAAAGCCAATCTCCCTGCCACGGAGTCACTTCTGACTCAGAACCAGCCTATAGGACAGAAGAGAATCACCCCTGAGGGTTTCTGAGGTTGGAACTTTTTACGGGTGTAGTAGCCTCGTCTTTCTCCTGGATAGTGGCAGGTGGTTTTGAACTCCTGACTCTGAAGCTAGCAACCCAACTCATAATCCATGATGCCACCAGGAACCGCAGATGCAAAGCCTCCAGGGGTTGGATCCCAGCATGGCAGGGCTGAATGGTGGGGCTGAAAAGTGAGACCCACTTGGCTGGTTCCTGAGGGGCGGACCATGAGGCTTTGAATAGGTTGGGAGCCAATAGGGGTCTTTAAGCCTGGGAAGGGGTGCTCTTTGGCGGCTGAGTGGAGAACAAGGTGTGGGGTCTACGGTCGATACTGAGAGGCTCCACGGGGGCAGCTGCAGTGGCTGTCGAGGGGCGGTGGTGAGACAGGGGGATTCTGGGGTTGACATTGGCTGTGCGGACATACTGGAGAAGGGAGGGGAGGACAAAGAACCAGGTCCACTGGGATGGTAGAGTGGGGCTCCGCGGGGGACCAAAGTGGACATTGGAGAAGGAGTCGGCTGCCCCAGCTGGGCTCTGGGAAGAGGGCGGGGCTGGACACAGACACGGGTGCATCTCTAGTTGAGGAGGACAGTGCAGGACTGGGCAAGCCCTGGCAGGGCATGTCATCAGGAGCAATCTGGGCCCCATACCCAGAGTCTCTCCAGAGTGAGGAGAAGGAAGGGCCGGAGGGGAAGTGGGGCGGGGTGGGAGTTGGGAAGCCAAGCTGGACACGTGTTTCTAGAAGGCAGAAGCAGTCAGCTGAGTTGGCTGCTGCAGGCTTTGGCAGGCGAGGCTGAGACACCGCCATTTGTAGAGCAGTGGTGGGTGGGTGAAGGGTGGGCAACTCAGAGTGGAGTGGTTCTGAGATCACCTGGAGAGTAGGGACACACCTTAACCCTCCAGAAAGGTCATTTCTGTGCAGAGAACCAAGGCTTGAGGCCAGGTGGGGTACAGTGGTGGGTCCATCTGCTGTAAGCAGACAGGGGCGGAGCACATACTGTGGCCCCTGGCAGAATCCCAGCAGACTGTAGGCATGGCTATGGAGTTAGCAGTGGAGAGGCTGGGCAGCGGGGGTTCAGAGACCGGGGGTGTGCATGACTGTCTGGAGTGGACAGGCACTCAAGAGGATGGCTCCCATGCCAGGGAAGTTAGGTGAGTCAGCCTGGTGGCTCTTTTCTTTCTGGCCATCTTTCAGATGGGGTCCAGGATGGGCAGTGTGCTGGCTTTGGCTAGGATGAAGGCTTGTCCAGGAGCCCGAGAGTCAGCACGACTGGCTGTCAGGGAGAAGAAGAGGAAGAAGAGGTCTGGCAGGGTAGCAGTTGTTCTTGGCCAGGACCCCCACCTCCCCGGCCAGCGTCACTGCGCAGCCACCGCTGGCTGTAAGGAGGCTCCTGTGTTGCTGGGATGCCCCGGCTGCACTGCTCCCGGCCACCCCTCCTGCCCATGTCACCTCCCGCAGGAAGACCTCCGGCTGGCCCTCTTCTCCCAAGGCCCACACACCGCCTGCCTCTGTCTCATCTGTCTGTTTGGCTCGTATCCCCGGTACCCTGTTGCTGTGCCTCCTCTTTCCCTGTGACCCGCTGAAAGCAAGCCTGGCGTTCCAGCCGCGCCGGGTAATCCGGGCAGCCTCGCTAAACTTCGGCTTCCTTATTTAAAGATGTGGAGGATGAAACCTTATGGCTCTGAGCTGGGTCGTGAGAACCTGCAGTTTGGGATTAGGGCTGGAGGGCAGGGGCGGGGGGGCATGTTTCTTTCCCTCCCCCTCGTTGTGACCTTGGGCTGAGAGGCAGGGCTCCGTCTCATCTCTGAGTGGAGCTCCGCAGACTCCCCTGCCCAGTGACTCCACGGTGGCTGACTATGAAACTCTGCCATCATATCTTAAACAAACAGCAACAATAACACGAAACTCAGACGGGTTGACGAGTACCATCAGATACAAACGAGTGAACCTAGCTTGCGCTTGGCTGCGGGAAATAAAAACTGTACGAGTCTAGCGATGACCAGAACTATCGTTTTTTTTTAAGTGTCAATTAAAAACACCCCCAAAAGGACTTCTCATAGGGTTCTGAAAGGGAGTAGATTGGGGATGCGACTTGCTGCTTTACATCAGAAAGAGGTGTTTTGTGTGTGTGTGTGTTTTCCTTTCCTTTTAAAAAAACGTTCTACGCCCATTTACAGAGAAAATTGCCCAGAAAACATTCAATAAATGCAAGGCGTTCATTTCCCCCCTACCCTCCACCCTCACCCCCCGCCAGACATGTCCTTTTGCGTGCCTACCACAGCGCGTCTTTCAGAGCATCTTCCTGTTACCAGAAGCATGCTGAGACACCCACGCGCCACCCATGGCGAGTCCTCACAGGCATGCTCTCTTCTGTGCCCGCTCGGGTGCCCATGCACAGGTTTCCAAGAACAGTAAAACCCTGCACAAGGCGCTCAGGCTCCTGGATGTGAACAAGACGGGCCTGCTGCAGCCGTGGGAGCTCAGGAGAGTCCTGGAGACCTTCTGCCTGAGGATGGGTGAGGACGAGTACACCAGGTAATGGAATGGGGAGGTGGGCGGGGGGCGCTGAGGGAGGGCAGGGGGCCGAGGGGGGAGACTTCCAGCCAGTTTCACAATGGCGCCCCTTGGGCTTCCTGGTCCACCCATCCCACCTCTTCCTCTCTCCCTCCTCCGCTCTCCCAACTCTGGGTCTTGTCGAAAAGAAATCGGCACTGGCCGGGCCTTTCTGCCTGCCAAGCCCCCCACATATCTCAAAGATGACGGTGAATGGCCACGAGCCCACCCCTCAAGTGCCCTAGGGTGAGTGTCCTCGCGCCTCCGCAGACCTGGGCTCACCTGGGTTACGTAAAGTGTCTGTCTCCTGACAACCCCTCTCTTCCTGTTGGGCTCTGTGGGCCCTTCCACCTCCCTGTCCCCATGTGGCCCATCTTCCGGCGCTGGCATGGACGCAAGGCCTGGGGTTAGAAGAAGAACGAGGAATTTCAAGTTTTCATCCATTTGCATCCACCCTGCTGGGCTCTCTCTCTTCATGGCTCTGATCATGGAGTCTAATTTCCCCGGGAAGGTAGTCCACATCACACATGGGTCCACTCCCTCTTAAACCCACGACCACCTTGTCACAGACGTGCTGGCTCGCATCGAAGTCCCAGATGAGAGCCTGTCCCGCCCCGGGGAAGCAGAATGCCCGGGGTGTGCACCGCATCTGAAATACACGGAGACTTCCATTCTCGATGCCCTCAAGATGCTAAAAAACAAAATAAATAAAGCAAGTCGTTCCTTCCCCACTTTTTCTCCCCTTTCTCTTTATAACCCACCTCACAATATAAAAGACATAATAGATGTTTTAATTTTTCCTTTTTTTTTTTTCCAGCTGGGAAAGTGTTCAGAATAAGATCCAAACAAAACAAATTAAATAATTTTGTGCGGGCAATTATAGAACAGAAGCAACGCTCTCCTAAAACAGGCAATCAAAAAACAAAACAGTGTTTTATTTGACAATAAACCTTGTGCTTGGCACTGCAGTCACCAGCCTAGTAAATCTATAAAAAATGTGGCTGTCTGTGTCCCCATCTCCGAAGGATTGAATCATAAAGAAAACCACACATTTTTATTTGAGGTTTTTGGGATGTGTGTGGGTGTGTGTGTGTTTTCCCTTTTCTTTAAGCCCCCCAAAACAATGCCCTTCTCACAACAAGGCTGCAGGAACTTCACGGAATAGAACTGCTTTCTTTTAGCAGAAGAAACGGATCAAACTGAGGCTGCGTCTTCCCTTGCCTTATGGTTTTCTTGCAGGAGTTCAAATACCTGCTCTTTCCTCCAGAAACCCAGCCCTGTCAGCACGGACTCTACCTACTGAGGGGGTGGTTTGCTGGCTGAAGCAGGAAACAAAGCATCTCTGAAGTCTTTCGATTCTGTCAGAGCTGGGCTTTCCCCGCCCACCAACGTGCACCTCTTGGTGTGATGAGAAGGACCTTGGAAACCAGGAGACCGAAAGGCAGCAAACGGCCCGAGCCGATTCTGACTCAGAGTCGACTCCTTCAGGTACCGGCAGAACTGAAACAGCTGCCAGGCAAGTTGACTCTAATTCCTGGCAACCCTGTGTGTGCCCAGCAGACCTGGTGCCCGGGCATCTCTAGGCGGTGACCTTCCCGAAGCAGGTTCCTCAGATTTAATTCTGAGGCACTTCTGGGTAGGTGCATACCGCACGAACCTTTCAGTTAACAGTTTGTACCACCCAGGGGCTGCTGGGGGTCAAGTCTGGGCTATACCTGCCTACTTCTAGGGTCTTACAGAAGGTCCCAGGCCACTTTGAAGCTGGGTTTTCTCAAAAGAAATGGGTACTGTGACAGCTGCCCCGAGGCATTCTGCAGAGTCAGGCTCATGTGCAGGTGCTACTGTTGTGGGAACTGTGTCTCAAAATAAAGGTCCCATCCCTATGAAAGGCATCTTCATTCTTTGATAGAATACTGTCCCGCCCCTCAAGGGCCCACAGAGGACGTCATCACCCAAGTCTGTCCTGAGACCCTCAGTTTCTGTGCTTGCTTTCCCTCTTTCCTGCATCCTCTCCCCCAGGGGTCTCCGGGCAAAACAGTGTATGCTCAACAGTGGGCAACCAGCCAACTAGTCAACCAACTGAACAACCAACCAAACAGCCAGCCAACCAATCAACCTATTAACCAACCAACCAGTCAATGAGTCAACCTATTAACCAACCAACCTGCCAACTAGTCAACCAACTAAATAGCCAACAAAGAAATCAACCTATTAACCAACCAATCAACCAACCAACCAACCAACCAGTCAACCAATTAAACAACAACCAACCAAAAAAAAAAAAGAACAACCAACCAATCAACTGATTAACCAACCAGTCAACAAACTAAACAACCAACCAACTAAACAACAACCAACCCAACAACCTATTAACCAACCAGTCAACTAGCTAAACAACCAACCAATTAAGCAAGCAACCAGCCAACTAAACAACCAAACATCCAACAAAACAACTGAACAACCTCCAACTAAACAACCAACCTATTAACCAACCAACCAGTCAACCTATTAATCAACCAACCAACCAACCCACCCACCAACCAACCTATTACCCAACCATCCAGCTAAACTATCAATCAACCAAATAAACAACCGAACAACTAGCCAACCAACCAACCAACCAACCAACCAGCCAGCCAGCCAGCCAGCCAGCCAACCAACAACCAACCAACCAAGAAACCACCAAGGGACAGCCTGCTGCCTGAGCCTCTGAGCAAAGCCGGAGCAGAGTGCACGGAGCAGCGCTGCAGAGGTTTGAGGGATGATCAGTGGTGGCGTCATTGATTCCCCCGCCCCGTTCACTGCCCTGACTGATGGGCTCTGAAGACCTGGGGTCTCCTGCTCCAGCTCAGGGTGGTGAAAAAGGCCCTTTGGCTTCTCTCTGATCAGTGTCTCTGCTGCGTTACTCTCTTCCCAAAACCCTTTGAGCTCGAAGTTCTTGTACGGCCTGAGACTTTGTCTCTGAAGCTTTACCTGTAGGAAGGACTCCCTTGGGATTCCCTCTACCCCGCCCCCCCCCCCCAAACGCGGATGGACCCACTAACTCACCACCACCAACTTGATTCTGATTGGGAAGAGCAGAATGGCTCCTGTGGGTTTTGGGGGCCTGGGAGTCTTTATGGGAGCAGACAGCTTCATCTTTCTCTCAAGGAGCAGCCTGGAACTGCTGACCTTGAGGTTGGTTTGCAGCTGGCGTATCACTCTCTGCACCCCCAGGGCTCATTGACTACGTATTGGGATGAGGTCGGGGTTCTCTGAACAACACTTGGCTATTGTCAGGAATGCTGGGTTTTCAGGAAAAAGGGAAGGCTGGGGATGCCCTCCCCCCAAGGATCCTGACGGTCATCCGGGTGCTACCACTGGACTGCCATCACCTGGGTGCTGGCGCTCAGGACCTTATTGTCTGTCCCACAGCAAGAGGCCACCTGAAGGATGGGGCTGTTCAGGGAGTTTCAATGCGAACAGCTGGCAGCTAAGAGATCATCTCAACACAGTTGTTCTCGTTAGAAGAATAGTCAAGACTCATCCCAGCGGAACCCAAGGTAGGCGAAAAGGAAGCAGTGGCGTCTTTCCCTGTGGAATGCGGAGAACAGAAACGGCCAGTCCTTGAAATGCCAGGGATTGCATTTTGAGAGCACAGCCTGGGATTCCACAATTATAGAAACCGGGACATATGGAGACGAGGGAGTCCGGACACCCAAGAACTGGCCACCTATTACAAATGCAGCAACGCAGAGCTCACCCCAAACCCCGCGTCTCCAGGGACAGACGTGCACCATCGGACACAGGGGCTTAACAAAGGCAAAATCACAACAATAACTAAATCAAAACACAAAATCCCATGGACCCCTTTATCTGATGTGTGTGTGTGTGGGTGTGTATGTGCTAAGGGAGGGAGGTGCTGGGGGGAGGCGTGCATTTCTGTGAGGGTGTGGGCTGTGTATGGTGGGGGTGGGGTATGTGAGAGGATGTGTGGGGTATGGGGGTGTGTGTGTGAATGTGTGAGTATGTGGGGGATATATGAGTGTTTTATGTGTGTATGTGAATGTGTAGATTGTGTGTCTGTCTGCAAATGTGTGTGTGTGTGAATGTGTATTTGTGGTTGTGTGTGTGTGTGTGTAGTGGGGGGTTGGGAGCACCACCGCTGGAGGCAGCTGGACCCCTCCTAGTCCTGGCTGCTGGGGACAGTGGGGTGCGGTGCCCCATGTGTGGCCTCACATGTCGTGAGTGGTGGCGGCGGAGCTTGAACACCCTGAGACCTGGCACTCAAGAAGTGGGCAACAGGTGGGGACCCCAGCTAGGCCCCTCAACACACCCCTTTTCTGGTCCACGGAGGTGGAAGTGGAGACAGCCCCACCACCAGCGTTAGAAAGAATATCTGGGTCTGTTTCAGGGGTGCACCATGCTGCCGTGTCCCTCAGGCTTCTTCTGAGGGGTAGACACCCCGGATGGCTTCTGGGAAATCCCTGCCCCTCTGCTCTTCACCAGGGTGAAGCCATAGGCCACCTAGGCCTCCGTTTCCCTTTAGTCCCAGGACATGCTTGGTCCCAGCGATGGCCGGCCCAAGGCAGTGCCAACCGAATCCTGGCTTAGAGCCACTTCCTGGATTACTGATGGAAAGGGGGCCGACCCTGCTGTCCCTGGGGTTGTCTGGTCCCCTTTCCCTCCCTACAAAGGGCCCACCTTGGGTGTTACAGGCACAGCTTTCCCTGAAGAGGCCCCCAAACCCACCTGTCCCGTTGTTTGTTTGTTTGAGATGAACGTGTGTGTCTCTTGATCTTCCGTGTGTACCCATAATGCCTTGCCCGTTAATCCCGAGCTTCCTGTTGTCCTGGGCTGACTGTGGAAGTCTACCTGTAGTGAGACACAGGCATGGAGATGGGGTGACAACCTCGTGCTCCGCAGAGGAGGCTGGTTCCTGGCCCGTCACGCCATGCGCCTCAAAGCAGAACCCTTGCCCCAGCAGGGTTTTGTTCATTTGCTCGTTTCACGGTTAACTGAGAATGAACTGAAGGTTTCCAGAGATCATCGTTTTCCATCCGGCGATCAGGCCCCCATCAACGCAATCCCTTCCACGGGCCCTCGCTCACGCCAGGCCCTCCCCAGCTGTCCCGGTCCCCGGTCCCCCGTCCTCTCTGCCGCCTTCATCTTTGCCTGGCTCCGTGCTGCCCGTGTGATCTCCCAATGCGGAGGGAGGTGCCCGTGGGGTTTTCAGTGGCTGATTGGCTCTCTGGTTTTGGAAATAAAGCACCAGGCCTTCCCCTGCCTGCAACTGGGTGCACCCACACCCTTTGCCCAGCAACACTGTAGCGGGCACCGCAGTACCAACGCTCAGCCCCTCTGTGATCCCACAGATCACGTGCTCCGAGCACTAACGATCGTTTGTGTTTTAGGTTTTCAAGTCACTACAACGTTGATAAGAGTGAAGTGGACTATAAAGCGCTTTTGAAGAACTTGAGCATCAACACCGACATTAACTCCCGGTACTCTGTGGGCAACCCAGGTGAGTGCCTGAGGCGCGGCAGAGAAAGGGCTCGGCAGTCTTTACCTGGCCACCCACTTCGAGGATTCTGTCCCCGAGGAAACACTTTGAACCCAGAAACATTCCTTATCCACCAAGATGGTGGCAGTATCAATGTTTGTAAGAATAGCCTAAAATAGAGGAAAGAAATAGGAGGCAAAGATATTTATAGAGGTATAGCTATAGGCATGTAAATATGTAAATACATTCATTTATAATGAAAGGGATAGAAGACAATGTATATTTACATGTTTAGTATTAAGATAGCAGATGGACCTCTACGCAAGGCCTCCCTTAACACAAGAACACTTTGTTCTGATAACCTGGCCCTCTGTGATACTCACCTTCCCGACACAATTGCTGAAGACAAAATGGGTGCACAATCAAATGTGTGAAGAGAGCAGATGGTGCCAGCTATCAAATGATATAGCGTCTGGCGTCTTAATGGCTTGAAGTTAAATAAGCGACCATCTAGCAGGGAAGCAAATAAGCCCATAAGGAAGAAGCACAGCAGCCTGTGTGATCAAGAGGTGTCAACAGGGGTAGGTATCAGATATCAAAAGATCCAAAACAAATAACTGTATCAATGTGAATGAGGGGGCTTGGAGTGGAAACCCAAAGCCCATCTGTAGACAATTGGACATTCCCCCAAAGAAGGGTCATAAGAAAGGGATAATTCAATTAAGGTGTGGTATAGCACTGACCCCTCCCACTACCAGGGCCCACTTCTACATTAGAGATCTGGCTAGACCAGAGAACACACATTGGTACAGATAAGAGCTCTGGACACATGGGATTCAGGACAGATAACCCCCTCAGGAACAGTAGTGGGAGTAGCCATATCATGAGAGTAGGGCGATGGTCAAGGAGGGGGAAGAGGGAGAGAGGGGGAAACTAGCATAAGTTTGAATACATAACCCCCCCCCAAAGGGGACGAATAACAGAAATGTGGGTGAAGGGAGACAAAAAACAATGTAAGATATGAAATAATAATAACAATATATAATTGATCAAGGATTCACAAGTGTGGGAGGGTGGTGGAGGAAGTGGGGAAAAAGGAGCTGATACCAAGTGCTCAAGTAGAAAATGTTTTGGAAATGATGATGGCAACCTACATATCAATATGCTCGATACAATCAATGTATGGAATGTCATGGGAGCTGTAAGAGCCCCAGTAAAAGGAGTTTAAAAAGGAGTAACCTAACGGTTAACAGTGGGAGGCGTTTGAGAGAACCTGGAGAAGCTCACTAAACAGCCAGACATGGCTGAGACATGACACGGCTGAGAATAGATACTTTAGAGTACTCCTTCCGGTGCTGTATCTCAGTCTGGGCTTGCCCTTCTTTCCGCTGCTTTGCTATGCGAGAAAACGAAAGCTGATGAAAATACATTGCTTTATTGATGAGTCAAACATGACTAGAAGGACCGAAAGTTAACTGATTACGGGCTTCAAAGGGAGAACTTCCTGGTGCTTGAAGCCTGGGGGAAGGCTGTTCCTGGTGGCATGGTGGTTATGTGTTCAGCTGCGAATTGTGAGGTCAGCGGTTTGAAACCACCAGTCACCCTGAGGGAGAAAGACAGGGTTTTCTACTCCCGTAAGGAGTTACAGTCCCAGAGGCCCACAGGGGCAGTTCTACCCTGTGCTCTAGGGTCTCTGTGTGTTGGCCTTGACTCAGTGACTGAGTTTTGGGAGTTGAGTGGTCCACAGGTGAGAGCCCTAACTCCATCATGGAAGCTCATTCCCCATCTGAGCTCGTTGCTACTTCCCCAGACCTTGCTGGCCTCTTAACCAGCAATGTGCCCATGCTTAGGCCAGCCCAGTTGCCCCCTGCAAGAGTGGGCTTGAAAGCAGATTACGTAGGAAGAGCGCAGAGAGATGCTCACCTAGAGAGCTGGGGGACTTGTCTGAGCCTTTACCCAAAGTAGCCAATCCAACAGTTGTTCCTAGATTTCATGGGAAGGCTGGGGGTCCTGGCATTGCCTGGTAGCCTCCTCCTGGCTGTGACTCGGGGTTGCACAATCATGTGGAATACCTCAAACACTCTGTGGCCAGGCCCTGCCCATCCTGTACCCTATACAACCTGCAGTTGTGGGTGTGTCCAAGTCATGGTCCTTCCCTTGCTTCTGCACCCGTGATGAATGACCTGCCACCACCAGGGCCTTGTGATGACTTCGCTGTCTCTGTCTATGGATATATAATAATGTGTACATAATGAGCACCGGGCCTGTGCGTGCACAGACTCCATCAGCCTGCGTCTCGTGTGTGTGTGTGTGTGTGTGTGGATTGATAGTTTCCCTCACCCAAGGGTGACGCTTGCTTTGTCTTTGTCTTGTATAAGGCTTAATAAAAGACCCTCTTTAAAGCATGTTTGTATGTGGGGTGGTCTTTCGGCCCTAGCATAGCCTTCATCACAGCCCTGTTGCTGTGATGCCCAGTGAAGCAAACACTTTGGTTACTGCAGGAGTGAGTGAGCGCTCAGTTCTCGGTAGAGCGCGTCTGGAGCAGACCATTGGAGGGTGTCCCTTCCTGGCCTCTGGCTGCTTCTCCTGGGTGGTCTCTTGCCTCAGGGTTCTACTCCTTGTGACCAGCTCACTTAAGGTGGGGGGTGGGGTCACTGTTTGGTTTCAACCTCAGTCAGGGAAGGGAATATTAATGGAACGCCTTCTCTGATTCTCAGCGTTGCCCTACTAGTAAACTGCAGTGTGAAAGATGGTCAGATCTCCGTCCAGACCACTAATCAACACTGCTGATAGCAGGCTTCTGGAGTCTGTGTTTTAAAGGCTTGTTAATGTTGAGACTAGGTTCCTGCATGGTGCAAACAATTTGCACTTGACCATTCCAGTGACACCGAAGAAGAAAGGCCTACCGTTCTGTTTCCTTCCCTAAAGACTACAAGCAAGAAAGCGCTGGTCGTAGTTCTTCTCTGTGATACAGGGGCACCACGAGTCGGAACTGACTCAACACTCAGGGGATGTAAGTTTCCAGAACCACTACACAGGGGTCTCTTCCAAAGCCCCTTTCATCACGTATTTTAAGTTTCTAGACAAGTCCCTGTACTGCTAGGCGGAAAGCTGATGAGACCCAGAGAAACGGGGCAGGCCTGCTGAGGTCCGGCTCACAGGATTCACTGGGCCTTCCAATAACTCCACTTGACGCACAGAAGCCCTGGGGGCACTTCTGCTCTGTCCTATGGAGTCAGGATGTGTTAGAGCCGGCTGGACAACACACAATAACAATGCATTTAAGCACACGCACGCACACACGCGTTTCTTATTGATAAGGAGAGTGTTTTCCTTGACCTTACACCGGATGACGGGCCTAGCAGTGCAGGATCTCGCACATAAACTTACAAAATAGGAGCTTCAGAAGGCTGTACTAGACTCTGTACCCAAGTCATCACTCCCACGCTTTGCTCGATTGCTGTCATACGTGGTACTTTTACACACACTCTAAACACAGCACCGTGGCTCTGTTTTTCCTTTGACAACTAGCTATCTTTCGAAAGCAATGAAAAATAAACACAAATGACGTTTCCTTTATTGTCATTGATTGCACGCTGTGGTCCGGCCATTACTTTGGCTCCATCCGAGTCTCTGGCGCATTACTTCTGCCAAAATAACTCCCTTTAACACGTACTGCTGAGCAGGCAAAACCCCTCTGTTTGAGGACTCGGAGGGTGTCTGTTCCTCCGGTATTTTGTAGGATGTGTTGGCTGTAAGAGTCTGACGCAACCACTTCTTTCAGGACTTTAAAGGGATACCTTCCTTGTCTTTGGCTTGCCTCATTTCTGATAAGGAAGATATTGTATTTCTAGTTTCTTTTCCACTGTATGTAAAAAACGTTTCCCTCCTTTGACTGCCTTCACATTGTCTTTCCACCTTTGCTCTCTGCAGTTTGATTATGGGCCGTCTAGATGCACTGCTTTCCCACCCCCTCCCACTAGATCCGGTCACTGTGTCTTGGAGTCCTGGGTGGCACATGGTGGATGCGCTAGCTGGTTACTGAAAGGGGCGGGGCTCAAGTCCACCCAGACTTGCCTGGTGGTCTACTTACAAAAGGCAGCCCCTGGAAGCCCTATGAAGCTCCATTTTGCCGTGAGCCGTATGTGACTTCGTGACCCCTGGGGTTTTGGAGTTTCTTTGGTTTATTGTCCTCTGAGTTCCTACAGCTCTAGTTTTATCCCTGTCATATTTGGGGGAAATCCTGGCTGTTGCTTCTCCAAATATTGCTTCAGCTGCCTCTGCCTCCCTTCTCCGGCTGAGATTCCACGTATTCCTACGTTGGACTGCCTGGGCTTGTCCCACACTCTAATTTGACTATTCTGTGCTGTTATCTCTGTATTCAGTTTGAATATTTTCTGTACAATGATCTTCAAGTTTACTGATTCTTTCCTCACCTCAACAGGTCGACTTTCAACTAATGTGCTTTTTAGCCCAGTTTTCATCAACGTTTGCTTCTTAAAGAACGATAGTACAATATCGAAACAATGAAATTGATGTTGGTACAATGATCGCTATGGCTCACAGTGTTGTTTAAGACTACGCGTAGAATGGTGTAACCGCCAAAGCAAGCATGTCGTTGGCGATGTCCTTGTTAGGTGCTGTCAAATCAGTTCCGATTTGTACTAAACCTCTGTACAGCAGAGCGAAGCACCCTGGTCCTGCGCCATCCTCACAGCGGTTATGTTTGTGCCCCTCGCTGCACTTACAGTCTCACCCTATCTCTTTTTTGCTGGCCCCTACTCTACCAAGCATGGTGTCCTTCTCCAGGTACTGATCTCCGTCGGTCACACGTCCAAAGCACAGTGCATGAGACAACGTCCCGCCACCCTTACTTCAAAGGCACACCCTTGCTGTACTCCTTCCAGGAAAGACGTGTTTCCTCTTGCGGAAGTCCACAGTACTGTCAATTGTCCACGTTCTTCGCCAACAGTAGGACTCAAATCTATTCATTCTTTTGCCATCTTCCTTGATGTTTTTTC